GATTACAAGCAATGATCACTCAAAGATCAAAAACTCAAGTTAAAGCTCAAGTAGGTAGGTAAAGATATTCAATGCAATGTTCTCTAAACTTCTTCAGATCTGTTACCAACCATATTTATAACCCCTTGCTCGAAAATAGCCGTTACTAGCCGTTGGGGGTCATTAAATGCTCTGGAGGACACAAAAGTCGAGTTGCAGGATTGTTAGGAGAGCCGGCTTAACATTCTAGAGCCGGCTCTTCAGAGCCGGCTTACACTTCCAAAGCCGGCTATCCGAGTTTGCAGACCATTCTGTTTTTCTTGAGAATCGGCTGCAAAACTTTGAGCCGGCTGCAAAACTTTGAGCTGGCTGCAAAACTTTGAGCCGGCTTTGCAACTCCGACTTTAAATACATTAAATGATCTTCAAATGACTCGACCGTTGTGCATTAAATGCACCCTCACAGCCGGCTATAAAGTTGGAGCCGGCTTTGCGTCTTTTCTCCGCGCGTGCCAAGCAACGGTCTTCAAATTTTTGCCTGTAGAGCCGGCTGCAACTTCCAGAGCCGGCTGCAGCTTCCAGAGCCGGCTGCAACTTCCAGAGCCGGCTCTCTGCACTTCTATTTCACCAGAGTCGGCTGCAACTTTCAAGAGCCGGCTCTCTACCATTTTGAATCCTTTTGGTCTATTTTTAGTGCAATCCAAGTTTACTTGCAATCTTTTAGCAACTTAACTACACACTTAAATAAACCAATTAGTCACTCAAATGTGTTTTGTAATCATCAAAATCATAGGTACAACAGTTCCCTCTATTTTAAATATCCCTTTGTCAATTTCATGGCCTCAATGTTTCTTTATGAGAGACATATCAGGATTTTAGTCCTTAACATGTAATTTATCAAAAATGGTTCAAATCGTATAAATATGATTCTAACCAAGTTTTTGATGCTTTCTAAGTTTTCTATGTAATTGCTTCAAACCAACTTTAAGTGATTAGAATTCAAATCCTAGAATTTTCAAAGCTTGCTATGCAATTGATTTGAACCAACTTTTAGTGATTCAAATCTACACCTTATGATTTTCTGAGCTCATTGTATAATTGGTTTGAATCACCTTTGAGTGATATGAACCAAAATCCAAAAACAACTCAAATCACTAGATTTATTTTCCATGACCAATAGCTATTCACTCTTGCTATTTATAGGATACTTTAACTCCATTTTTCTTCATTTGGACCATTAAACCAAGCTTCCAAAAATGAATCAAGTGCACAAAGTTGCACTAGCTTCTACAAATTATCTCATCAAGAGATAGCATCTAAACAAGGACTCAAAAATCCTTCATGACCAAAGGCCTTATTAATTCTTAATCAAAACTAAGAGCCTTTTCACTTGGCCTCTCTTATCTTTGTTTATATTCAAACTAAGATAATCAATTGGATCTCTAAATGGGTGTGCCAAATCCCATTTCAATATTTCTTTCTTTATCATGGCAAAGTAGCCATCATGAGACTTGATTCTCACTTGTTTCAATTTACATATACTGATATATGATCTTACAAGCATAAACAAGAGGCATCAAAAGTAACAAGTAGACATATGCTTTAAGCAACTTTCATTAATGAAACATAATCAGATTCGTTAGCCTTTTATATTTTCACAAGTCTCATGTTAAGATAAACAAAATAACAAACAAGAAGCATGTATATGTATCATACGTACAGAGCACAAATGATTCTATTTAAACTGTCATAGACATAAACATGCTTATAACATAATCTTAGTAAAGGAAATCTCATTTACTCTAATAACTCTTGAGCAAACTTTAATAAGAACATGTCTAGAAGTAAGATATACTACTTAAACTCTATAAAGCTTCATAAGTAGTTACTACATAATAGTTATATATTCACTTTAATACCATTTGTTCAACCAATAACCGTGCATTGAACAACCTTAATAGCATGCCTAGAAGGCATGATATCAATTTTTATAATCAATTTTTATATTCAACATGAATATTGCATTTTTATATAATCCCTAACAATTCTCATGTGGAGACAAACTAGAACAGCAACATGTATGTATATCTTATTTAGAATTCACCATGGTTGAAAACTAAATAATCAAGTCAAAATCCAAGAGTGGGTAAAATATGAAACAAGGCATAAGAAAATCATGAGAGAAAATCCAATCTGCACTCTACTAATCACACCAAAAATCCTTTTTGTTTTGCCACTGTTGCACACTGAATCTGCTTAATTTCACATGCGTTTTTAACGCAAGTTTCTTTTCAATTATCTAGTAAGTCAAGATCTCAAAAAACTCGAAAAATAGCCTAAAAATTGTTGGAAATTGGGAGCTAGAAAACATATCATTGGCTTCAAGGCATGCTACAAATGCCACTTTCCTTTAGGTTATTTTCGCCCCCCTCCCCCACCATTTTGGTATGCAAAAGGGATTAATTGAAAATGCCTGTAGGATATAGTGAAGCCTTATTGATTACGCCTTGCATTGATGAAACCAACCACTGAATCTCACTTCTTCAAGCAGCAAAACTAGCACTTTCATACAAGGATTTCTATAGCAATCATTGCACAAAAGAGGATTGTTTTATACTAAAAAAATAACAGGATATTGTATGTATTATCCAAATTGGAATCACTCTTTCAAGGGGATGAAGATAAGGCTTTTATATACTATACGTATCTGTTGATAAAAGACATATTTTTCCAAACACATCTCTTTCATTTGAAGAGTTTTAACATAAAAAGACATATTTTCATTAATGCCCTTTCCCAACCATTATCTTCTTTCCTCTATTTTGAAAATTCTCCTAACGTCTCTAACTCGGTCCCAATGTACAGTACAAAGAACCATTAAGATAAGCAACTCTCTTTTATTCTATTCCAAAAGACGTTGGAAACTTGGAATTGGATATTAAACTAACGAATTCTCTATATAAATGATTAAATTAGTTAATACAACTGTAAAGTTTCGGTTATTCAATATTCCTTCACACTTCTGATCTAGTTTCTGGAAAATGAACAAAATGAAAAGCAGTGGAGCAAACTCAGACAAATTGAGGTGTAATTAATCTTGGCCTTAATAAAACTCATAAAGAGTCCACTAAACATTGGTACTGTGTTATATTTTGAGTGTAGCCATCCATATTTCTACTCCATTAAGCAGGTGTATCTATTGTAGATATGTGATCGTTTCACATTTCAAAACAGTTAAATCAAATAGAGCTATAAATGAGGAGTAGGAAATCAGAGATTAGATCAACCCGGCTTCGGTCACTTCCTCCTAGCCATATTCCTGCCTTTGAACTAGTCTAATCTGTACCATTATTAAACTGAAAAAAAGAAAAAGAAAAAGAAAAAGAAATTATAAACTGATGATTCCAGCACACTGCCCAATTGCCAAGATGAAAGAAAACATATGTGTACCTTTGATTGGGTTTGGACTTTCATTTCAGGAGTTCTCCAGGCCCCAAAAAAAAAACATTAATGAAATTGTCCGACAGATCTTATACATCAGCCTACGTACTTAGGCCCAAACCCAAGATCTGCCCGCTAAGCCGCTACAAGCCCGCAACTCATTTTGGACAAAATTTGAACTTCCTTTTTATTTATTTATTTATTTTTCCATAAAAGAATTTGAACTTCTAAAAAGTTAAAAATTACTAAAGACCTAAGAAAAAAGAGTAAAAATTAAAATTTTCTAAAATAAAATTTCAAAATAATCAGAATCACTTCTTTACAAATTTGTTTTGTACTCAGCTTTACTCCCCGGCAAGCCATTTTAAAACTCTGGCCATGGTCCACTACCAAAAAATCCACATTTAGTGACTAAATTATTGATCATTAAATCTTTATTTTTCGTTACAAATTATTATTAATGATAAAATTTAAATCGTTAGTAAAACCCCTGTGACTAATGCTCTTAATGACAAATTAGGCACCTGTCATAGAAAATAACTTTACAGTGATAAAAGAAAATTAACATTATTAACAAGTTATTCATAATAATTTTATTCGTCATAAAAAAAATATTCGTCACAAATGCAATTATTGTGCAAAATTTAATCATTAATTATTAAA